AAAGCAAGAAATTGCAAGTAGATAAATAGGTACCATTTCAGTGGGAAGGTAACAGCGTTCCATGCGCCTTGGTGTTTAGTCATGCCGGCCACATGACCACGGAAACATCTTCGGACAGTGCTGGCTCTTCGGCTTTGAAACGGAGATGAGCACCGCAACCCTGGAGTCGGATTCAACTGGCTTTCGAGCAAGGGAACCTTTACCTTTACCTAAGCTGAGTTAAGGTGAGCCAGCTCACAGTTTTTTAGCCTCTGGCCCACACATTTTTGTCTTAGCTCAGGAAGGATGGCTCCAGAGCAAACTAATTGATGCAGGAGCCAAATGGCTCGCTCACAACTTTAATGCCGGTAGCTGACAAAGTAGAATTTTTTGCTCACAAGACGCCACAGCTTAGAGGGAACAATGCTTGCAATTATGGATTTTTTTGAAAAAACCCACAGGGAAACATTAAACATTGTGATCCTCCACCTGAATTGGTACAGCCCTGTCTGCCAACTCATGACTGTACCACCTAAAAAAAACAAAAACAGGGAAACATTAAACATTGTGATTCTCCACCTGAAGTGGTACAGTCCTGTCTGCCAACTCATGACTGTACCACCTCACCCAACCTGTTGCATGTGTTGAACTGCTTCTAAGGGTGTACTGGTACCATCAGAAGAATAGGTGGCATAGTTTTACCTCAGCTTTAGGCTGTCTCTGTGTGTGGGGAGATTGTATGTTTGAATGCCACCCACCCACAATCAACAACCAAAGACAACAAATGATAAACCTGTATTGTATTCTCTCTGCAGTCGGGTAAGCTGAACCTCAAGAATACAGGAGATCCTGTTAAAACGAAACAGTGAAAAGCTAAATCTGAAATACCTGCCGTTTTTAATAGCATGCCTTAATATTTTTAAAGTCCCTGGTGCTTGTCAATCATGCCCGAACTTTTGCACTCATCGGTGGAAACACTGGAAGGCAGAGACCTGGTCTACGCCCAATGGAGTAATGAGCTGCCATGTGATACTGTGCATGTCTATTTTTTTAGTGTTTGGATGGTTTTACGTTTGCCCGTCACTTCTCTCTGTTTATCGTCAGATTTATTTCGTTTGGAGAGGTGCAGACATGTTCATAAATACCTCCCCCCCAAAAAAAAAGATTGCCTGCACTTTTTTCTTGTAATCAAAGGGACTGCCATCTCACTTCGCTTTTAAACATCGGGAAATCTAGGCAATAGGGCTGCGAACGTGATGGACCCCTTGGAGCTGTGGCCTTAACCCATCACTCTAGTCTCATGGAAATCCTCCGTCATGGCCCCTCGCGCTGGGAAGGCAAAACTCCCCAGCGTGTGCTCTCGGAGACACACTCACCCTTCCCCTCTTCCCCCCCCTCCCCACCATTCACAGGCTAAACCGAAAGGCCAGGTCACCCCTCCCTTCCAGCACCTCCTCTGAAGCATCACCTGCTCGCCTGCATCCCTGCCCAGAGGGCCTGGTTGGTACCCGGGATGCTGCCTGGTACCAGGTGCTTAGCAAGCAGCCAGCAGCCATTCCGCGGGAAGCGGGGGCTTACCTGTCCTATGACAGATGCTGGAGCATCCTTCTCTCTTCGCCAGCCTTGTCGTTCTCCCCGGGCGAGCGGATTCCCTGCGGCAGGTTCGTGGGAGCTCTCCTTCCGCAGCTGCCTGGCTCTCCCCCCCCCTTCCCTCCCCTCCCCTCCCTCGCACAGGGCGTCTGCGTTCTGGCTGGGGAGGAGGCTGGCGGGGTGATGTCACCAGGCATCTTGGCTCTCCGCTTTCTCCCCAGCTCTGCAGCAGCAGCACCCGCCTTCTCTCTCCACCTCTGCCACCCTGCCTTAAAGCGGCAGGCTGACTCGGCAGCAGTGCGCGGAGATGAGCCGAAAGAGATCTGTGGCTAGGGACGCCAGGACGGCTCCAGAGTCCGTGGAGGGAGATAGAAGGTCTCTGCAGGTGAAAATTGCACAGGTATGCTGGGGGGTTGGGGGGACACTTTGCTGGGGAGCGGGGAAGGGTGTTGCTGGGGGTGCCGCCCGGCTGGTGTCTGGATTCTCTGACAGAGCCGCATTCAGAGCTGTCCCCCAGCAAGAGCGGACTGGACATTTAACTCACCGGGAGAATTCCCGGAGGACGGATGCCCTGGAGGGCCACTGGCAGGCGGCAGCAAGCTCAGCCAAGTGGCCCCTGTGGTGCCGGCAAGGTCTGCTGGGCTCAGGCGTGGGCTGGGGGAACAACAGAGATAGTTGTAGGCTCACCTAACAGAGAAGCCAGTGTTGGATCAGGCCAATGGCCCCTCCAGTCCAACACTCCGTGGCCAAAAATACCAGGTGCCATCAGGAGGTCCAGCAGTGGGGCCAGGACACTAGAAGCCCTCCCACTGTTGCCCGCAACCCAAACACCAAGAACACAGAGCATCCCTTGCCCCAGACAGAGTGTTCCATCTATACCTTGCAGCTAATAGCTACTGATGGACCTCTGCCCCCTATGTTTAGTCCAAAGGACCTCAAGCATGGTAACTGGTTGGTTATTTAAAGTACTTATTTTGTGTTGCATCTAGTGTGACATTGCTCAAGGCCTGTAGGCTAAATCAGCAGTATCATTAAAGTAAGTCAAGTTTTACAAAGGTGCCCCATTCCTCACCCCACCCCGTTGCAAACTGGCTGAGGTCTGAGGATGCTATGGCCCTATTTGGAAATTTTGCAGCCCCTCCTGCGAGGAAGGTGGGCCACAGCCCCACCCCACCTCGCCCTTGTGGTCATGACCAGGACCATGCCCCATGACACACGGAACTGGTCTCAAGAAATATGTTACACACATTAAGATTCGGACTTGCTTTGTTCTTTAGAAAGTGGAACCAGGAGGGATGTGGGAAGATGCTGAGTTGAGCCATTTACAAGCACTGAGACAGATCAGTATGCTTCAGAGTCTCCGTCTCTGTCTCTGTCTCCGTCTGTCTGTCTGTCTGTCTGTCTGTCTGTCTGTCTGTCCGTCTGTCTCTCTCTTTCCCCCAGTTCGCTTTCAGCTTCTACTGTGTCCTGCTCAGAAATATGCTGTGTCCCTGCTGTGCTACTCTGATAATGATGACAGTCCTTCACATAACACCCCTGGAACTCACTGCCACAAGATGTAGAAACAACCATCAACTTAAGTCAATGAAGAAAAAAAGGATTAGATGTCTTTGTGGAAGACGAGTCTGTTAATGACTAATGGCTTTGATGGAACCTTGCCGTGCCATCAACTTAAGTTAATGAAGAAAAAAAGGATTACGGTAGATGTTTTTGTGGAAGACGAGTCTGTTAATGACTAATGGCTTTGATGGAACCTTGCCGTACAGAAGCAGTATAGTGGATGTTGGGGACAAACCACAAGGCCCATCTACCCCCTTCATGCCCTGTTTGCGGAACAACCTGGATGTTTGTGTCCGGAACAGAATGCGGGACAAGATGGGCCCTACTTTTACCCAAGAAGACTGCTGTGACGCTCAGCACAGTGCAAGAAACCGTCTAATAATGGATTGAAGTCTTAGAGCCAAATGACATGAATGGCAAAATCAAACAGCAGATTCCTTCTCAGACTGAACCATTTTGGGCTGCAGGAGGGACACCCTTCTTAAAAAACGTACCTGCACATTATAAACAACAACAACCCTTTACCTTCCCACTTGTAGAAACCTAGCACATTCTGAGAATGTTGCACAGAACAGACTTTATCCCCTTTCAGCAGATTCCTTCTCAGACTGAACCACTTTGGGCTGCAGGAGGGACACCCTTCTTAAAAAACATACCTGCACATTAAAAAAACAACCCTTTACCTCCCCGCTTGTAGAAACCTAGCATGTTCTGAGCATGTTGCACAGAACAGACTTTATCCCCTTTCTTCTTGTGAGTGGGTTGCTTCCAAGCATGCAAATAGATGTGAGGCAAGAATGGGGACTGGTGCAAAGACTGCTGATGTCACCAGGTTAGTAAATGGCTTCTTAAAGTGAGGGGGAGCCGTGATTTTCTCGCTGCTTCTAGGGAGAAGGAATACCAGTTTTCCTTCTTGTGCAAGAACATTGACCTGGATAGCCTGGGCTAGCCCGATCCCGACACATCTCGGAAGCTAAGCAGCATTGGTCTTGACTAGTATTTGGAAGGGCAACCTCCAAGGAATACCGGGGTCATGATGCAGAGGCAGGCAATGGCAAAACCACCTCTGAATATCTCTTGTCTTAAAAATAAGTCTAGCTCGCCACCTAGTGATGCATAATGGTAAAGAGCTAGAACTTCTGACTTCCAGACAATCTTAGGATCTCCTGGCTATTCTACACACAATGCCATATGATAATTAATTAATTCCTTACACATCCAGGGGAATGGATGAGTGAGGAAGCAATTTATCTCCAGGCCAGTTTGGCCAGGAATCCTGGAGGGTTTTTTTGGTCAACTTCTGTGCATGGAACAGAGGTTACTGGGGGTGTGTGGGGGGGATGCATTTGTGATTTTCCTGACTTGTGCAGGGGGTTGGACTAGATGACCTTGGAGGTCCCTTCCAACGCTATGATTCTAATTAATTCCTTATGCAAGAGAGCAGAACCTTTCCACCAGCCTCTCCCCCAAAACATTCTGGAGATCGTAGGACCTGCAGGGACAACAGCCATATTGGACGGAGGCTGTAATAAAGGAGAGGCATTGGAGTGGAAATATTGTCTGGATCCAACCCAGACCTTTCCCATCCACACAGGCAATGATGCTCAGAAGGAGAGAGTGAACCGCTAGGAAGACTTGCAGAGGCAGGGGGCATAGTTTCTCGGAAACATGTTCTTTTTGCTTCCACAAGGGGGAACAAGCTGGCCTTCCCCAAGTTCCCACCAGCAGCTCCTTTCTGCTTGGAGCAGCAGTTCACCTTCTGGAGTGCCAGCTGCCAAGGAAAGGAATCTCTGGGTTTTTGCTAACGAAAAGTTCTCACTGGAAGGGGAATGGGAATCACAGCACCGGCAGTGGCTGTGGACGCGTTGGCGATGGCGTTAGGGGCCTCCGGCCTTCTGCTCCTCGTCCTGTGTGCCGGATCAGATTGCTGGAGGGTAAGAATTAACTTTCTCTTGATCAAATGTGTTGCATCCCACCCCGCTTCCAAGGAGCTAACACCAGTGTCGATGGGTCTGTCACAACAACCTTGCAGGGTACGCTAGTCCAAGGGGGAGTAACTGAGCCAGAACCACCTCAAAGCTTCATGGCGGGATGGAGATTGGGACTGAGCTCTGGCCAGTCCAAGTCCAACACTCTGACCCTTGTGCTGCGTCGTTCAGAACCCGAAAACCTTCAAAGCTCAGATCCTGGCAACCAGGAAAGAGCTGTACAGGGATCAGAACAGTGCTGGATTTGGATTTAGGGGCAAGCACCCTAGGGGCTGTGGTGGCTCAGAGGTTAAGACGCTGAGCTGCAGACCGGAAGGTCTGTAGTTCGGCAGTTCGAGACCCGAGTGCCGTGTGGCGGAGTGAGCTCCCGTCTCTGGCCCCAGCTCCTGCTAACCTAGCAGTTTGAAAGCAAGAAATTGCAAGTAGATAAATAGGTACCACTTCGGTGGGAAGGTAACAGGGTTCTGTGTGCCTCGGCGTTTAGTCATGCCGGCCACACGACCACGAAAATGTCTTTGAACAGCACTGGCTCTTCGGCTTGGAAACAGAGATTAGCACCGCCCCCTAGAGTCGGATTCGACTGGCTTTCGAGCAAGGGAAACCTTTACCTTTACCTTTTTACCCTAGGGGCCCTGGGCTTGTGAGGGGCCTCCAGATGTCTACCAAAACTATCCACTATGTATTTCAAACAGTTCTTTTTGGCTTGCACAGCTGATAAGTACAGCTGTAACACTATTTAACACTGGTCCACCCAATACTGGTGCACGGATCAATTACCTGATCTTTCAGTTATTCTTAAAATTTAAGTATTCTCAAACTTTAAATCCTTTTCTAAGGGTGGAGGCAACAAATGTGCTATCGTTTGCCAATGCTCAGCATGTGCGAACGCTGATTGACAGATCCTAGTGGGCAGACTGATTATCATGCCGTGGGGATAAATCATGCATACAAAGGGGGGTATCAAAGTAATGAAATGTGAGAGAAAGACAATTTAAAAAGAACCAAAAGTTGAACAAATGCAGATGCTTCTCAATGGAGGAGGCATAATTTTGCCTTGGGCCAGTTTGGTGTAGTGGTTAAGTGTGCGGACTCTAATCTGGGAGAACTGGGTTTGATTCCCCACGCCTCCACTTGCAGCTGCTGATGTGACCTTGGGTCAGTCACAAGCTCTGGCACAGCTGTTCCTGAAAGAGCAGTTTGTGTCAGAGTTCTCTCAGCCCCACCTACCTCACAGGGTGTCTGTTGTGGGGAGAGGAAGGGAAAGGAGTTTGTAAACCGCTCTGAGACTCCAAGTGAAGGGTGGGGTATAAATCCAATCTCTTCTCTTCTCTTCTAAACTGGGATTTTGAAGAGACACGCAAAGTCAGCTGCATCCCTCATCCAGAGTTCTTGATTCTATGGGGAGGGGGGGGGGTTGTGACAGGTAACAGGGTGTGGAAGGCCACAGAGATGATGCCAAGTGGTTCTCAACCGTGGGTCTGGAGCCTGAATTGCAACAATTCAGAGTTTGCCCTGGTAAACATGTACACCTTGGTAGATAACCAGCACCCGATCAAGGCGATGTGTCTTTTACATCATCAGGTAGACCAGCCTGTTTCCCCACATTTCTTAACCTTGAATCCCCTTTGGTTTTCAAACAAATCTTATCCCTTCTCCTTTTTCCTCTGAGGAGAAATGGATGATAAGAACCAAAGAAAGACTCGGGTTGAGCAGATGAAAAAAAAAGAGAAAATGATGCCGTTGCCACAGGAACGCTAAGCCCTGAGAAATATATCGGTGGCAATAAACGCCAGCGGCATTTGGTGTGCTAGAGGAAAGGTCAAAACTCTTTCTGACAACTTGAAAAAGAGAGGAACCAGTTCAGTTTATTCTGGGCGTGTTTTTCACACACACAAATTTTGTTTATCACACCGTTCAGGCAAAGTTGTCAGTGCCGGGCTACGGTCGGCCTTCCTGACTGGGAGGTTTGCCATATTTTCAAGTTGGGCTTCAAATAACTTAATGGACACTCTCCTCATAACTAATAAAAACTTTTAGAACCCTCTTGCCCAAGACCAAGGATCAATGTGCTTTCTAACATTTCATGAACTGTGAGGTTTGGGATCGGGCAAGCTGAGTAAAACCAGTTAATGTTGAAGTTCGGAAGCTTCCTTCTGCTTTTCACACGCTGTTTCCTCAGAGAAATAACAATGGCTCTTGAAGCATCCAACTGTGCTCACTTGTGAAAGCGGAATTTTCAAAGTCACATAAGCATTTTTTTTAAAAAAAAAACCTTAAGGATGTGGTTGCCAGCTTCCAGGTGGGGCCTGGGGATCTCCTGCTTTTACAACTGATGTCCAGATGACAGAGATCAGTTCCCCTGGAGAAAATGACTGCTTTGGAGGGTGGACTTTATGGCGTTATACCCCCAAAATCTATGCCTCCACCCCCCAAATCTCTAGGTATTTTCTCCATCCAGAGCTGGCAACCATACAAGTTAAGGGGGTCACTGGTTGGAACATCCAGGGAGCAGCATTTGAGAAACTTCTACCTTTTAGAAGGTTATCAGTCACTTTTAAAACCAGTGAAGTTTAAGTCTAAAAAAAAGCCCAAAACTGTCTTTCTTAAAATGGAAATGTTATAAATTAAAAAGCTTGAAAATATACTCCAGATGTGGTGGTGGGACAGGAAGTTAGTGTTTGTTGACCCATTCCTAAGTAATGCATTTCCCTTGTGCAGCAAGACGCCAAGGATCCTCTGTCTTCCGTGGGCTTGAGTGTCCGGTGCCGGGGCCTATGGAGTGAGTGCATATTTGATAACGTAGCCAACTTCTGGACATGTGATATTCCTATCTCCTATCTCAGTGAACACCCCGGTAAGGAAAATGTGTCTGTGTGATTTGGGCGGGCGGCTGATTGTACTCATATCTGTATCTGGGATGGGATCTCCAGTTCAGATTGGAGTTTCAGGATCAGACCTTGAAATACAACAAGCAAACAACTGTGCTGTATTGACCAGACAAAACCAGGAGGCCAAGCTGTTCGTATTCATATCAGGAATTTCAGGAAGGGGCCATTGCCTGCTCTGGGAGGTGGAGTTTGGGAAGGGGAAGAGACCACAGCAGGATATAATGTCAGAGTCCACCTTCCAAAGCAGACAGTCTCCAGGGGAAGTGATCTCTGTCATCTGGAGACCATTTGTAATTCCGTGATCTCCAGCCATGAACTGGAGGTTAACAACAAACATGACATACACGGATGAATACCAATAAAAGGGGGAAATCCTCTGTATAATTAAACCTCCAAAAATACATAAAGACATTAAGTATAATGTTTACAAAGTATTTACATAATTAGCAATACACACAAAACAATCTCAATACAGATCTTGGAATTCATATAAATAAATTGTGCAAATAGGGGAAGATCCAGGTTCATTAGTTACAGAACAAAGGATTCAAATGTAAATTGCAAATTCAAAAGCCCGTTCAATACACCAATAGTACTTTTGAATTTGTAATTTACATTTAGCTGGAACGGAACTTGCAGAGCTGCTATGTGAACAGCACTGGAAGTCTTCAGGAACAGAGGATTCTACTCGCCTGAAGTACTATTGGTGTATCGAGTGGACTTTTGAATTTGCAATTTACATTTGGATCCTTTGTTCTGTGTGATTCATGAAATTTTCCCTATTTGCACAATTTATTTATATGAATTTCAAGATTTGTACTGAGATTTGTGTGTGTTTCCTGGCTATGTAAATAATTTGCAAGCATCCTATTGAGTGCCTTTGATATTTTGGGAGGTTAATCATATGGAGGATTTCCCCCCCTTTTTTTGTATTCATGATATGGAGGTTGGCAGCCCTATTTCTATCCCATTAGGGAATGCTTAGTATTTGGATTTCAACTATTTGCACAAAAAAGAAAAGGGCAAGCAACAAGGACAAAAAC